ATCTACACTAAGAATATGAAGTAGGCTCATGAAAAGCCACTAAAGAACTGGCTAGGAGAAGGTGAGGGTAGGTAAAGAATCTATTTGTTCTGCGTTGGTATATTTCATGAAATGAGATCCTGTCTCATTTAAAATGCTGAGGTACACTTTGATTTGGAAATGTTGGCATTTCTCTTTAAGAGATGCTTCTGGAAACCTGTTCAATAGCAAGTTTTTTATTTCCCTCTTGGCTTCGCTCCCACATTTCCCCTGGCATTGAGCGTCTCATCATCCACTTTAAGGGTTTTATTTTATTTTATTTTATTTTATTTTATTTTATTTTATTTGTGGAAATTTTACACACTTGTTAAGATTATTTAATCTCGGTCAGCATAGTAAATGATGTAAGGATATTTTATGCTAGCGATGGAAGTCTCCTTAAACTTAGTCATTAGTCAGTGTTCTGCTCTTTCTACAGCTGTTGGAAAGTTAGCTTACCTTCACTACCGTTTTACATTACAGAGATCTTATTTTGCTTTAATTCTGTGAAGGTTTTTGGTACAGTCCATTTTACTTCCAAACTGCTGTTATTAGTTGCCTTTAACTTTAAAGGTACTTTATCACTCCTCAAGTTTAAGACTGTAATCCTGGCATTTTATTTTACTAAATGAAACATAAATGGCTTGTATTCAGAACATGCATGTATTTCCCATATGATACTATAATGTAGAGAAACACTTAAATGGGTATATTTTCTTATTTGTAGGTTAAAGTTGGTTAGAAAAACTTTACTGCACTTAAGATCTGTGCATTTCACCCTTATGAGTTTACCTTCGTTTTAAAATCAAGTTTTAAAAAAGTATTGTATGAATACCTCTTATTTTCTCAACATCTTGACCAAATGACCACTCCAAATTCTACTTCCTCTTCCTCTCTCAGGCAGCAAAACAGTATATATTAATATAATCCTTTGGCTGAATAAAATCAGTTGCCCACGGTTACTCATATCTTGGCCCTTATTTCCTCAGAGTGAATATTTGTTGGTTCAGTGGTGTAACTGTATCAGTTATTTCTTCTGTCTTTATTCAGTCGCACCAGCTGGATTGACCAAGTTTTTTCACACACACACACACACACACACACACACACACACACACACACACCCCCCCGCCCAAGGCCGAATTCGTATCTGCTGCTAAGTGCTTCCAATTAAAGAGAACAACAAATTTGAGACTTAGATTTTTATTCCTTTGAGTTATTTGTCTGTGTTGTATAGCATTTCCCTGCAAGCTTAATTTCATCCACAAATGATGTGATGAGTGTGTTCTGCTGGGTTATTTTGCTTAATCTCGGATAGGTTTATAATCTGTAAACATGCCTTTTCAAATTATTAGTTCATTTGTAGTGTGAGTCAAAAACACCTCCCCGCCATTTTGCAGTTCTTTAAATAAGTAGAATAGCAGAATGGGGGATTTTTTTTTTTTAATCCAAGTTGATCTGCACGTGACCTGAGAAGTGAAAGGGGACCATAATAGGTCTGTGATAAAAGCCGTTGCTTTTTTGTCCACACCTCAGCCCATTACCGCAGTCTCTTTGCTCGAAACCATTTTCAACTCTGCTAGTCTCATTTGTCTATGTCTCCCTATTTCCAAGGAAAATGTTTATTTTCTCATTCATTCATTTAGACCTTTACACAGGCAGAGAGGATTTCATTTTCTTGAACAGCCATCCTTTCTGTTTTTTCCTCCCCTTTGCTTCCCCTTCCCCATTTTCCCAGTATCTTACACCTTTTGGTTAAAACGATATTCATTTCCATTATTTGCCTACACACATAGTCACAGGTAGCCTCGTCCTGTAGTTTCCTCTTTAAAGTTTTCCCGTAGTTAATAATTGCCGTATGTACTTTGATTCGCGTGGCGTTCTTTCTGCCTGTTGATTCTTCCCATACCTCTTGTAGCCTCTTGGACAGTTTTCCACCAGGTCAGTCAGCACTGGCCAGTAGAAATGCACCTCACATGTATAATTTCACCCTTTCTAGTGGCAAAAAGGTAAAAAGAAGATGAGATTAATAGTAGTTCATTTAGCCCACGATGTCCAAAATGTTGTTTTAACGAACACCACTGAAAATATTTACGATACTTTAGTTTCCTTTTTGAACACTGTCATCAAAATCTGATGTGCATGCACTTCAGACTGCTACTACTTACATGCTCTCAGGAGCCACATGCAGGAAGTGGCTGCTGTAGTGGACAGAGCAATTTCAGCTGATTTCTTGGTTTTAGTTTTTGTCTTAGAGGCTTTTGTACTAGACAGACACCTCCATTCTCTTGGATTGTTTGGTCTCTGGGCCTGACACACACAGTTGTCATCTTAGGAACTCCTTCTGCTTTTCTTGATTGGATTCCCTATTTCCTGGATTTCAGGTCTTCTCCTTATTTTTCTCTGGTGGTTTCATTCAGTCATGGTGGGTACAGTGGACAAAGGCATGTCATTGACCCATTCAGTCTCTCGAGTCACACTGCTCCAGTCTGGCCCCCTTGCTCCGAGGTCTGGTATATACTCATCATCCTGCTAACACCTCCCTCCACAGTTTCTTTGGAAATTTCCTTTGCCTTTGCTCTTGTGTCAGGTTTTTGGTTGTGTTTTTTTGTTTTTTCTTTACTACATCTTCTATTTTTCTCTTTCTTGGTTTATTTCTTCCCTCACATGGAAGACCTGATGCTCAGTGGATTGCTGAGGACCAGAAGCATGGGTGGTAAGGTGTTTGACATCTTGCCTCTGTGCAATGTTTTTATTACACCTTCTCACTTAATGACAGTTGGGCTGGATATAGAATTCTAGGTTGGAGATCATTTTGCTTCAGATTCTAAAGGCATTGCTCCATTGCTGTCTCGCTTTCAGTGTTCTGGCGAAGTCTGAAGTCATTCTGATGACCTTATCCTTTGAAAGTGCATTATTTTTTCTTTTCAGGGACTTACAGGACATTTTCTTTGAGAGATTCTGGAATCACGTATTAATGTGCCTAGTATAGATCTGTTCTTATTATGATGAACACTTGATAGGTCTGAAGATTTCCTTGAACTATTCCTTTTTTTTTTTTCTTTGTATTTTGTTTTGCCTAGTTTTCTATCGGGGGTTTTTGGGGGATAGGTGGTGCTTTACTTTCTGGGAGGATTTTCTTCTACCTTTACCTAACATCTTGTTCTTAATTCATGGATACAATATCTTTTCTTCTCTTACTGAATATATTCATCTCTTTTTTAAAGTTTGTTTTCTCTGCAGTTTATTTCTTCCAAGGGGCTTTTTTCCCTGTCATTTTTCTTGTAAATCTCTTTGATATTAGAGGCTTTCCTCTTAAATCTTAGAATCAGTGGTTGTCTGTGCGTGATGAAGAGTCGGGGCTCACAGGGCAGATTCAGAGCTCTGACAGGTGGAAGGGGCTCATCATCCCTGACCCAGGCGCGAGCCCTCTAGCAGGGCTGTTGATTGGTTGTTGGTTATGTGCCCTGGTGATAGTATCTTCCGGTCCTTCCTCTTGTCTGCCCACATCACCTAGAAAGCACTCTGCCTCCTGATTTACATCCTCCAAGGAATGATTCTCCAGAGTTCTGTGGTGCATGGTGGCAATCACCCAGCAGCACGGAAGGGGTGCGGCGGGGATAGTGGAGATCCCTTTCTTCCCAGACGGCCCCAGCCCTGAGCCCTGTGGCGAATCCCATCCTTCCATCCAGAGGCGGCACTTCTGAGCCTCTGCAGGAGTCTGTGCTGGAAATCAGGGTGGTTCTCTGCTTTTCCCCATTGCTGGCTTGTGATCGAGCTTTCTCAGACCCGCCAGCTACTAATAAGATTCCCAGCTTCCAAAATTCTGTTGTTGCTGTCTTCTCTTGTTCTCCCTTGTGAGTTTGTCTTTTTTTTTTTTTTAATTGTAGTGAAATATACTAACAAAATTTACCATTGTAACCATTCTTAGGTGTACGGTTTAGTGGCAGTAAGTACGTTTCCATGGTTGTATGAGCTTATCTTTTAATAATCATAAAATACAAGTTAAGAAGAAAAGCTGTGTATGGGGCGCCTGGGTGGCGCAGTCGGTTAAGCGTCCGACTTCAGCCAGGTCACGATCTCGCGGTCCGGGAGTTCGAGCCCCGCGTCAGGCTCTGGGCTGATGGCTCAGAGCCTGGAGCCTGTTTCTGATTCTGTGTCTCCCTCTCTCTCTCTGCCCCTCCCCCGTTCATGCTCTGTCTCTCTCTGTCCCAAAAATAAATAAACGTTGAAAAAAAAAAAATTAAAGAAGAAAAGCTGTGTAAATGGGAGTATAGTGGTGTTTTAGGAAAGCAAAACTAGATGTGTGTGATCAGCAGGAGGCATACTTTGGCTCTTCTGTTCCTCCAGACGCTTGCTGTTAATCGAGACACTTTCTCTTTCTGACCCGTTTGGTATAATGGGATTTGTCTGTCTCCTGGGAAAGCAATCGAATAGTTGTTGGCATAAAGGTACATTTTATCTGCCCTCAATACTTGTAGCTTTACGCAAGGTTACAGATGGAACTCCCAGGCATGACGTTCAAGGCTCTCCGCGATCTGGCCTACCCACCCACGTGCTCCAGCCGTCTGTCGTTGCTCCCGCCAGCCCACTCACCGTTCCTTGCAGAAGATGTGCACTCCAGCCTTCGCTGGGCTGGATGTTCCCGAGCGAAATGCGCCCCCTCCCCTCACCGCCCCACTCCTTTGCATCTCCCTGCTGTCTTCCGCGTCTTTCCAGCTCCCAGCCCCACGCCTTCCTCCCACTGTGGCCATGTGGTTGTTCCTCTTCTGTTTTCCTCTCATGACCTTGTACGTGCCTCTGAATTATCACCTTGCATTTCCCACACTGCCCAGCTCTCTTTGATGTGTGTTTCTCTACTGGGTCTTCTCAGTGCCTGGCACATAGCCCGTGCTCGGTCAAATGTCTGGATGGATTCCTGGTGCCAGAGAGTTCAAAAGAGAACTCTTTATCTTTTTCTTTTCCTTTTTTCTTCTTTGTAGGATATCCGACACGAAGCCAGTGATTTCCCATGTAGAGTGGCCAAGCTTCCTAAGAACAAAAACCGAAACAGGTACAGAGATGTCAGTCCCTGTAAGTATTCACATCGCCATTACCAGTCTCACTGCTTCCACTGCGTCGGCTTCTCAGTCAGGACCCCTTGAGCCCCAGGGTTTGGCAACAGATTGATAGCAGTAGAGGTTTATGACTTGATTGTTTCCTATTATAAAGGCATTAGAGACTTATAGTAATGGTTCATTTTTTCCACGATTGTAGAAGGAGTAAGATTTCAGTTTCTGGAAAACGCAGCTGAGTTCAAAGCACTGTTTTTAGCTTTGACTATTTTTATGATGAATCCTTTTCCTACCAGCTGAGGCAGAGTAGAGTGGGCACGATATAACCTTTTCTGGATGACTCAGCGACAGCGTTATTAGACCCCGAGTGAGCGTCATATTGAACTGTGACGATGCCCCGCCCAGGCATTAAGGAGCCGGAGCGGCGGTCCCCCTGCACTGAAGACAGCTCTGCTCCTCAAGTCCCACCCCTACCGCCAGCACCGGTCTTCTAGCCCTTTCTTGCCATTAGCTCTCATTGTGCCTGCCGGCCTCTGACAACCTCCACCTTCGGAGTGACCGGCTCTGAATCTGCTGCTCTCTCAAAAGGAAAGAACGAACCATGTTAGAATTTGGGTAAAGCGAGAAAAACTGGAGCTGACTAAAGAGCACGACCTTTGCCATTTCCTGTAGGCCCCACAGAACCTTTTGACTCCCCTCCAGGGTTTTTAGACCCTGTCCGTCAGGGAGGGTTGTAGCTGCCACCGTCCCCCGTGGCGGTCCCTTCCATCTGCCAGGGACACGGACGACTCCGGCCGTCATCCCTCACACTGGCACTTCCCGCATGCCTGCGAAGTCACACCTGCCCCGTGGCAGTGGGTGCCGCTGCTCAGTGCTTTCCAGGGGAGTTGGCAGCGCTCCCCCACCCCGCCCCCCAATTGTACAGCAGCAGGCTCCGGGGAGGGGAGCGGAGGTGCGCCTAGGCTGGCACCAGGCGGTCCGCCTGTGAGCGCTGCCCTGGTTCCCTGCCCGGGGGTGCGTCTCAGCCTGCCGCCTA